AAAGTTAGGTCAATTGCTTTAGTAAAAGTTTTCAAAAAAGAGGTTACAAAAATTTTAACAAAGAGACTAAGCAAAATCATTAAAGAAAAAAAGATTCTCCAAGGCCCTAACTTTGCTAGATTATCTAGAAACTTTACAAAAGAGCCAGTTCATATTTTAAAGGCTCTGATTAAGAAAGCTGAAAAAAACCAACAAAAGATGTGGATTTTGTTTCAAGATATAAAGAAGGCTTTTAACTCTATAAATCTTACCATGTTACAAAAAGCTCTCAAAAAAATCAAAATCCCAAATATATGCTGCAAACTAATCTGCAACATATTTGAAAACAGAAAGTTAAAGGTTATAACTGCATTTGGGCTAATGCAAAAAATTATAGCAGAAGAAGGTATCAACTAAGGAGAAGCCATATCTCCTCTCCTTTGGCGAATTTTTTATGATCCTTTGTTAGATAAAATTCAAAAAAATGAAAGTCTGAGTTACAGGATAAAAGTACTGGCTCAGATAGAAAGCTTGCTAGATATCGAAAAACCAAAAAGTATTAGACAGGCAGTCCTCGCTTATGCTAATGATACTACATGGATTGCAAGTTCGAAAAATTAGCTAAAACGAACAATTCAATTAGCAAAACAGTTCTTTCTGCTAAATAGTATAGAAATTAATGACAATAAGTCAAAGCTAATAGTTCTGAACTCAGAACTTTTTTTAGCAGATAAACAAGTAGAATATAGAAATGCACTAGTTAAGACAAGCAAGAAGCTACATGAACTATAGTTTTTTGGAACTTTTTTATATACTAAGAAAAAGGTGAAAGCAATTAAGAAGAAAATTAAGCAGATTGTCAGTCTGTTTATATACAAACTAGAAAGGAAGAAATCTATAGCTAGTCAATTAGTATATATAAACAACTAGGTCCTGATTTCCAAACTGGAGTATATTCTATAAACAGTAGCATTAACAGAGAATAAATTGAATACAATTCAACGGTTAATAAAGAAAAAACTGGAGATAGCGCAAATAGTGCCAAATAGTATTTTGGTTCATGGGGTATACTAGAAACTAAATTGCTTGCAAACGCAGTATTAGCTAAGCAGGCCATAGCACTTTTCAAAAGACTAAATAATATAGAAGTCTTAGAAAATATTACCAAAATGAGAATTAGACAAAGTATCTTGAATAAAGGTATAATACATAATGTCTAGAAAGACCCAGTTAGGGAGGCAAAGCCTGATTGTAAAGACAATATTGCACTCAATATAATAGAATAGTGTAAAAAATTAGACATATGGTTTACTACAAAAGAAAAAAGCTGAAATATATATGGCTCGGAGGCAATAATCACAAGTATGCTAAGTCTCTTGCAGAAGAAAAAGAGTAGAAAGCAGCAAGCAAGTTTGGAGCTATATTACATCAATCAGATATTAGATATAAAAGGTAAAAACTTGTTAACATAGTAGCAAATAAAGGCTTTTAAAAACTGTTGCTATAGTAGCATGATCCTACTTTGGTACAAGTCTATTAAAAACTTAATACTCAAAAACAAAGAAAGATACAAAATAAAAACTTGTTTTTGTTTACAAGAAATAAACAAAGAGGCTATAATTCCAAGTTTATCATGCATTAGCTAAGACAAAAGACTAAAAGATTAGATCCTATATTGCAAAGAAAGAAAGAAACAGCTAGAAATTGGACAGGTGCAAGAAAAAAGACCTTTTGAGATTTCAGCCAAGTACTGAGTCGAGAAAAACCTTATCAAGAAAGGTGTCTTAATAGTTTAATATAGTGGTTGTAATTTTAATGATGCAGACAAAGAAAATAGTTGCAGAGTTGATATAGAATTAAACCAGGTACTAGGTAAATTAGAGTATATTTCAAAAGACAAAAAGGGTTTGCATTTTAAAATCCCGACAGAAATATATAATTTCCTAGTAATAGACAAAAGCAGGCTTGAATATTCACTTAAAAGTATAAAAGTGGTAGAGAATGAAAATCTGGAGTATATAAAGAATTTGAAACTTCTAGCCAGCATTACTGCTTTGTTATTACACAGATTAAAGAGAAGTCTTAAATACAAATGTAAAGAAAATATTTTCTATACAGATGGTTTATGAATCCCAAACAAGTTTAACAAAAGTGAAGAAGATAGAATAAGAGTTGGTTGGGTTCAGATTACAGAAGATGAAAAAGATATAATATTTAAAGGCAAAGTTAAAATAGACAACTGGCTATTCTCTACAAACTCAAGCTAATAGCAATATTGTATGTACTTTTAATAGTAGATACAAATACAAAAATGCAGATAAAGACTAACAGTGCAGCTACAATTCTGGCAATAAAAGGTGTACTAGAAAAAAAGATTTTAGTAAAGAGATTAAAAAGAAAAATAGAACAATACTAGATAAAATTACAGAAGTAGTTCAGTTCAAATTACTTAATCTTGACTTAATAAAGGTCAAAGCATATGCAAATATAAAGTGAACCAAAATAGCAGATTGTATGACAAAAGAAGCTGCCTATCTAGATGATACCTAGAGGTGGCCAAACAATATCTGTTCTAGATAGAGTTTCGATATAACATGGCAAAATAAAAACATTGAGTACTCTTTATAAAGTTTCATACTTAAAGTCAAAAGAAGAGTGGTAGAGAGTGAATAGTACTTGTCAAAAAGTTGTGAGCCTTTATGAAAATTAAATTGTAAAAACAATTTATCTTGGGCCTTATATTGGAAAAGGTTAACAGAACTGAGAGGTTAGAGGTGTAGATCATTAGCCAGTAGTAATAAGCTCATCAAACAAATTAAAGGTCTTTTTTGAGTATTTCCGACGTTGGATAAGTTATATTAGCGCAGGCTATATATATACCTCTCAGCTAATTGCATCATATGAAAAAAACAAAATAGAGAATTTAAATTATTTCATTAGTTGTAAAGCTTATGAAGAGATATAGTTGGAAATAGAAAAACAAGCACTGGCACTTGCTTGGGCCACACTTGAGGAGAAAACTAGATTTGAATATACTTTAAAAGATTTTAAGAATATAGTATTCAGCAACTCACAAAAGACAAGGCTTGATAAGAAAAAAATGCTTACACAGAGTTTGGTTTGTTAAGCAGATTTTACTAAGCTTCAGGAAATGAACAAGAAGCCAACATAATGCTACAAAGTGCTTTTCTACGTCATACAAGAATATTTCTACAGAGTAATTTGAAAAGAAAGATGTGAAAAGTTTGCAGCTTGGGAAAAGATAATAGTATAAGTAGAGCAATTAAAAGAGGAAAAGGTCCTAAGATTTATTAAATATTTCTGAAGAGAACCTGCAGGCTAAAAATTTAGTTGCAGAAAGTTTGTTAGCAGCAAATATATGAGCAGAAAACCAACCAACAGAAAACTGTCCAAGGAAAAGAAAAAAGGCCTCGAAGAAGACATGCATAGAGAGAAAAAAAGAAAAAGACAAGTTATGTTTGGTAAAACTTAAAGAAAAAGTAGTAGAAATTTATAATTTAGTAAAAGAAACAATTTGGTTACAAATTTCAAATTTTTTCCACCTAGCTAGTAGTCAAAGTAAAATTAGATTAGAATAGAAGTTTTTTATTTTTTGTATTTCTTAGAAAATTTTTAGGTAGATATACTGTATGTTTCTGCTACTATCTTAATCTGATTTGTTTCAGAATAAATCTCTTTTTTGATTAAAGCTTTTGCTATTTCTTTAATCATATCCTATTTAAATATATTAAATTAACTTTTATAAAATTTTTATTTTATTAAAAAATAATTTTAAATTTAAAAAATTACTTCTTTAAAGGCTTTATTATTTGTTATATCAAAGCTATTATCCATTTTTTGTTCAAGCTTATTTAAACAATTTTCAATTCTCCTAACTTTTTTTTGAATTACTTTTAGTTCGTAAAGAATTTCACCTTGGTTTTTGATAATTTTGCCAAAGTTCTATTATATGCTTATAGTTAAATATTTTAAAATTAATAATATATTAAGTAATTAAATAGAGAGCACATTTATTTATCGTATAGTACAATATATATTATATATTGCAGATTATATAGCTACTGTATATATTGGTTATACAATATATGTGTAATAATATATATCAGATATATATATATGCTCATACGTACGTACTGTACGTATGTACATATACTACAAATTGTTAGTGCTATTAAAGCTTGTATGTCGAAGGTTTAATATATACACTAGTGCTATTAAAGCTTGCATGTCAAAGATCTAATACATACACTACAGATTGCTAGTGCTATTAAAGCTTGTATATCGAAGATATAATATATTATGTATATGTATATATGTAGAGTTCTGCAATTTGATTTGATTTGATTTGATTTGATCAAATATTTGATCTCAAATCAAATTTAAATACAGAAATTTCAAATCAAATCAAATTCAAATTGACAAAATATTCGATTTGATTCGAAAATACTTAATAAAAATTACAAATAAATTTGATTTGATTTGATCAAATCAAATTCAAATCAAGAGCTTATTCAATTCGATCAAATTCAAATATGTAAATATTCAATTTGATTCAACTTTGAGGAACCCTATATATATATATTTATAAAGTTTTAGCTATTATATTGGTTAGTTCTTATTCAATCTCTAATGCTAAGTAAAGCTAGATTACATTTTATATCATTGCATATATACGTATAAAAAGCTATAATACTAACAGTCACTATTTTTAGTAGGATATTTTGGAGCATAATGACCAGTTTTATAGCACAAGCCACATTTACGACTATTATTACCATTATCACTATCATTCTCATGTTTATTCTCTTTTTAATTACTTATATTTCTATCTATTTCATTGCAAGCTTTTAATCGTTTGCCTACAGGTCTACCTCTACTCTTATGTTTTATTGGATCATTTATATCATCCACATTATATACTTGACCATTAGACAATTCAATTTCAAAGTTTGGATTATCAATATCTTTAAAATTCTTTTCTTTATTTGCATATCAGTCTTTCAGCTTGCTTCTTGTTCTGAAATATATGATAATATAAGATTGTCTAATGCTTTTTGATCTTTATCTTCTATTGAATAATTTAGCGCTTTCTTGAAGTGTTTTATAAGTTGGCCATAATACTTTTTTTATGAGTATGTTGTCGAACTTTGTTTTCTTGAATATTTTCATAATGTTTAGGAATATGATAAGTTTGTTATAAAGAATTATTTGAGAGCTTTTTTAAACTTTTAAATGATGCTTCAATAAAAGGCTCATTAGAAGCCAAATCAACTTTACTTAAAGTATTGTCCTGAAACCATCTTGTTGGCATTAATGATATGTGAAACAATGCATGTGCAATTTTCTACTATTAGTTTAAAGTAGTGTTGGCAAACAATTCTATGCGAAACTAACAATAAACATGTATATAAATGTGTTCCATCTTCAAGAATGATAATATGCTAATATAAACTTATTGTCATATAAGAAATAATTCGCCATACTTCATGAATTAGTTTTTCTGAAACAGAATTTATTAATGTTTTCAAATACACTTGTCGATAATCATAGTGATCTTCAATATTCATAATGCTTTCATCATTAGTTTGCTTATTTACTATTGGTGGTTCATTCTAAAATTTATATAATATAAAACAATTAATATGTATCAACTTCAATTTAATCTAAAAAAACTCTAACCCTAACTGCTAACCTAAAAAAACTCTAACACTAACTGCTAACCTAAAAAAACTCTAACTCTAATCGCTACATCAACAAAAATATATAAGCGTAAACTTTCGTAAATTTTACGGTACATAAGAAAATCGTAAACTTATATAAAAATATTACACAAATTTATGCATTTCTTACGATGCGTAAGAAATACATAAATTTGCGTAATATTTTTACGTAAATTTATGATTTTTTTACGTACCGTAAAAACTTATGGAAGTTTAAAATATTTATAATGCACTATTCAAATTATAAGTTATAACGATGAATGAATTGATTTATATTTTTTTTG